GGTGGATATTATTGACGACACCGTTTTATGCTGAGGGAAGGGCAACCAAAACCGCAACATGATTATTGATGATTATCCGCCGCGAAGAAACGGCGCCTTGGAATCCACTGACGCCTTATTATTCCCCTTCTGAATAGACGACAGAGTCACAGGGGCTCATCTCCGATTCTGAAGGTGAAACTAGTAAGCGTTCTTTGTGTATTTTTTGATTTTTGATTCTTTTGGGTAGAATTCTTTGTGGGTGTTTTGCTAATTACTTCTGTAGCACTACAAATGTTTTTGCTTTTTAAGATTTTGGGTTTTTTTCTCCATCTGGGTTTGTTGTTTCATCAGGGTATATACGGTTTTGAGACAGTTTTCAACAAGGTTTCCTTTCGGTTAAAGTTTAAATCATTTGTTATGAGAAAAGAGAATGTTCGGTAATGTTGACGTTGAAACGATCCAGGAGAAGTTACTTGTTAATTGCTTTTATGGTTTATATCATGATTGCAAAATGTTTTAATTCTTGAGATTTAGACTCCTGTTTATAAAGATAAAACTTTTCTGGTGGAACTTGGAGTCAAGTGCAGTTTTGGCAAATTTTAGTTGTTAGGTTCTTGTTATGGGTCCTATATTAATCATCTTTTTGGCAAATCAAACTGGAGTTTGTTGATTGAATCTATTGAAAATGTTTGGAGATGATTGGACTGTTTTTCCTTGAAGGCCTTCTTTTAGGGACCCAATGGCAGCTGTTTTAACTGATTTTTTGTAGTTTCTCTTCATCGAACATTTTTTATGATTGTGTAGTGTGGTTGCATGAATCTTGTACATTGTGCTTGAAACTTGTCATTAGGTTGGCGGATATTTGGGTTTGCTCCAGGATTATATGGTTCTTAACTTTTTTTTTTTCTTCTATTTTTCTGGTTAATGGTCTATATCTTATTTGTAGAATCCTTTTCCAATTTGGTCTCTTTTTGTTGCTGCAGCGCTTCTTCTTCTTCTTTCTCCTTTGCCTATCATTTTCTCAGTTGTGCTGCTGCAAACATGGCAACTAGTAAGTTTCTTAGTAGCCTTCAGTAAGCAATTTATATTTAATGTAGTTTTGCCACTACCATTGTTCTCAAAACATTGGATCTGCTTAAAGTTTCCCATATATTGTAATTCATTATTTTGTTGTATTTTGTGTTCTTTTGGAACAAACACGTTTATACAAATTGACCTGTGAAACTTTATGCAGGGCTTATGTTTGAAAATTCATGTGAAGTTGGAGTCTTTTCCAAGCTGACCAATGCTTACTGCTTGGTTGCAATTGGTGGGTCAGAAAACTTCTACAGGTCTGGAATGTGTTTTTTTTTTTTTTTTCCTCTTTGAAAAATATGTGTGATGCAGTCAGTGTCTTCTGGAATTCTTCTCTGTTTCAGTCAAGTTGTTAAGGTTATGAGTTTGTTACAGTGCTTTTGAGGCAGAGTTAGCAGATGCCATTCCTGTGGTTAAGACCTCAATTGCAGGCACTAGGATAATTGGACGCTTATGTGCAGGTTGGTGTTCTTTAAGTCTTTTTAGGTCTTACACTTGAAGTGTTTAGACATGCTCCCAATTTTTCTTGATTTCGCTAATTGACTTGTTTTGGCAGGAAATAAAAATGGTCTACTTGTGCCCCACACCACCACAGACCAAGGTGAATGAATGAGTTCTTACAATTATAGGAGCAGTTCCTATGCCTGTAGTTATTAGAATTATTTTAGAAGCAATCACCTGGTGATTTTTTTTGGTCAATATAGTAATAGATTTGGTTGCCGTTTGCTCAGACATAATGCTTATGTATAGGATGAATACTTTTTACTCCTATTTCTGGCATATTTAATGACACATTTTTGTACTATTCTTTCTCATTGAAGAACTTCAACAATTGCGGAATAGTCTACCTGACCAAGTTGTTGTTCAGCGCATAGAAGAGAGGCTGTCTGCTCTTGGAAACTGCGTAGCATGCAATGACCATGTTGCTCTCACTCATACTGATCTAGACAAGGTAAAGTTCTCTATTTGCGTTATCATGTCTTCTCATCTTGTAGTCCAGAACGAGACTTATATATTATGATAACCCAGGGGTATTTAAGTGCATTGTCTATGTCATGCAATTGGGTTCTCACTATGCTATTTCATCTGGAATTTTGATCAGGAAACTGAAGAAATAATAGCAGATGTCCTTGGTGTGGAAGTTTTCAGGCAGACAATTGCTGGTAACATTCTTGTGGGCAGCTACTGCGCTTTCTCAAACAGAGGTGGCTTGGTAAGATACAATCTCATTCATAGACAGATGATTTGGCATGCTAAAGTCAGAATTCACCTTATTGTTCTGATTTATTTCCAAAATCTCAAAATGGAGCAGGTCCACCCTCACACATCCATTGAAGACTTGGATGAGCTCTCCACACTTCTTCAGGTTCCCTTGGTTGCTGGCACTGTCAACCGTGGCAGCGACGTAATAGCTGCTGGAATGACCGTCAATGACTGGACTGCGTTCTGTGGCTCAGACACTACAGCAACCGAACTCTCAGTCATCGAGAGCGTCTTCAAGCTACGGGAAGCACAACCAAGTGCCATTGTCGATGAGATGAGAAAATCTTTGATCGACACTTATGTTTGAGTTGTTTCTTTCTGTTGTCCCAGTGTGCTTCAATGTTTTCTGGATTTCCTGTATTAACGTTTCTGTTAAAAATTGTATTGTAATTATAATGAAATTGGATTTTTTTAATTATTTTTTATGTGTGATTTAAATTATTAATATTTTTTATTTATTTAAAATTTATAATATTAAATATATTTACTTATTTAAGAATATATTAATACAAAAAAAATTGCTTTTATTAATATCCAATCAAATTTAACGCAAGTTAAGTCTTCGATCTTTTCCTTCGAGAAGAAGTTACGAAAAGTCTTAGCAATCTTAACTTGACGGATGCGATTACGTCAGCGTAATCCAAGTGGGCAAGCAGTCTCCAGAGCCTTCCAAGGGCAGCTCGTGCCACGTAATCCATTTGTACT